GCAACAGATGTTTACAATAAAAAAATAAATATAAAAACTGTGTTAAGGGGAGAAAAATAATTGTCGGCGATAATGAATTAATTAGTTAACGCAAAATGAACTTGTTAACGTTCCCGGCCCTGAAAAAGTCAAATCACAAACTTGAACCACAGTTTGAGGAACACTATATTGTATTAATATAATTTGTACAGCACTTTTCACACACATTACAGTGCTTCTCAAAGCACTTTCCAGGATAAAAACTGTACAGTTAATAGATCAAAAGTGTAAAAATCGAAACACACAAAGAAATAAAAACAAATAAAACCGTAAAGATGATTCACATTTTAACCATACACTGATTTTTTGAGCCTTGTTTTAAACATTAAAGGTGAATTGTGTAACATTTCTGGTGGAGGGTTTTATATGAAATGCTTCACAGTATGGCATTAAACCTTTCTATCTTCATGGAGATCAAACCAGACAAAGTTACAGGTCAGATCTGTGGAGAGGCGACCCTGCTCACAGTCAGAATGCCTGTTTTTCTAGGTATTTTTGAGCTATAAAACCACCTGTAATTGAATAAATGTAAAGTAGAGCTGTTTAATGTCACACTGTGGAACATTCCAAGCAGAGCAATGACATCCATAGAAACAAGCAGGTGACAGACCCCCAAACAGAAAGTTACACAGTGCATCTTCTCTGGTGTAGGTGAGAAGTTGATTCAGCTCAAGTGACCACGAGGAAAGTACAGCACAGTTCAAACACAAAGTAATTTAAAGTGCTTTAGAGAATAAGAAAGACACAATATAGTCCAATAAAAGCATAAATAATCTTCATATAATTAACATTACAAGAGAAGAGTGTGGAGTAAAAACCTTTCAGTCATTCGCACGGTTAAGCAGAACAGTTTCGAGTCTGGATTTAAACACAGTAAAAGCAGATTATCATCTCACATTTTTAGGAAGTGTTCCATATTTATTTGCATAAAACTGGAATTCTGAGTCTGCCGATATTTAGTCTCAACTCTGGGTACCAGCAGGAGGACGGAACTAAACCACGACTAAACCAGGACTACATCAGGTAACTAAGGACTAAACCAGGAGTAACCAAGGATTAAACCAGGACTACATCAGGATTAAACAAGGACTACATCAGGTAACTAAGGACTAAACCAGGACTGACCCAGGACTACATCAGGACAAAACTAGGAGTAACCAAGAACTAAACCAGGAGTAACCAAGGATTAAACCAGGATTAAACCACGTCTACATCAGGACTAAACCAGAACTAAACCAGAACTAAACCAGCAGTAACCAAGAACTAAACCAGGACTACATCAGGACTAAACCAGAACTAAACCAGCAGTAACCAAGGACTAAACTAGGACTACATCAGGACTAAACCAGGATTAAACCAGGACTAAACCAGCAGTAACCAAGGACTAAACCAGGCCTATTCCAGGACTAAACCAGGACAATACTAGGAATAAACCAGGGCTAAATTAGAAGTAACCAAGGACTACATCAGGACTACACTAGACCTAAACCAGGACTAAATAAAGACTAAACCAGCACTAACCAAGGACTACATTAGGACTAAACCAGCAGTAAACAAGGACTAAATCAGGACTACAGTACACACAGAATAGCAAAATAAAACCTCCAAGATCATGTAGAGCAGGTTAATACGAACATTTTAAGCCCAAACTCACAATTCTAGCAGCAGCCGTGACGTAGAGAGAGGCGAAAGTTTTTCAATACAAAGTGAATCGGAACCAGAGTCGATGGAGCCGGAAGCACGCCCATGCTCACTTTCTATTTGTGACACAATTCGGCCCCCGCAATTTTGAACAGCCCCCACATTCGAGAGTTTCCAGTCTCTTTTTAAAACCCGCTTTTATTGTCCGGATTTTATCGTCGCGTGAGTTGTGTGCTCCTCTGTGTCTGGTATTTCTAATTTCATGTATTTTTTATTTATTTATTGCTATTTTATTGTTTATTATTACTTGATTTTGTGCTTTTTATTGCCATTTGAGCATTTATTATGTTTGTGTATTGTTTCTATCTTTCTCTGTGGATTGGATAGATTAGTGAACCAATTAAACTAAATTATAAACACAGCTCATTAATCAAGCTTTTATTTATTGTTGTGTTGTTTTTTTTCGCAGGATTTTGTGACGATGGCCGCGGACATGCCCCTCTGCTACCACGGCGCCATCAGCAAGAAGGACTGCGAGGAGCTGATGGGGAAGAAGAACAAAGATGGAGCCTACCTGATCCGAGACAGCGAGACTTTCCAGGGAGCCATGTGCCTCTGCGTCTAGTGAGTGACCGCACCGCTGTTTTTAACTCAAACTGGCAACGTAAACTGAAATAAATATAAATAAATAGTTTAATACAGATATACAGATAATACATTTTAACAAGGAGAAAGGGAAACAACAACAAAAAACTGTATTTGCTTCATATTTGAGAGTTTGCATCTCCACCTCGTAACATTTCAGCCAAAAAAGGAACTAAAGTAAAAGCATTTCTTAATTTTTTTTAACATGCATCCTTATTTTTGTAGTCATAGTAGTTGTTTATTTGGTCATTTTGCAGTACTACAAAAACAAAACATAGACTACAACCCCATGGATCATGACTGAAAGAGTTTAAACTGAAGTAAAAAGTACCTATAAAGCCAAATTCTATAAAACAATGACAGAATTCCAAGAAAGAAAAGCAGCGTATGAACAGTAAGTTTGCGTTTACAGTTTCACTTTCGACTTACTGTACATATAAGAGATAAAATATAAATGAAACCAAACTAAATTTAATGCATAATTCATTTATTCTAAAGCTCTGTATCTTTCAAAACATAACGTTAGCTTTATACTCTTTAGACTCACTTTCTTAGTTTGTTTATGATTGTACAAAATAAACCACAATGAGAATGAAAAAATGTAAGGATTTTTTCGTTTATGGCTGTTCAAACTACTAATAATGATACAGAAGACGCAGAATTTATCTGTTTATGATCAAAATAAAAGGTGATGTTAAAGAAAATGTTAAAGAAAAGTGTGTGCTTAGTTCATAGTCGTGGTTTACTTGTGACGACAATGGATCTAATCTTCAGGGTTTTTCTGTAAGATTGGATTTTTATATTGGTTTTTTGAAGTTAGTACAAGCTTTGATATGATATCTACACCACGTCTGGTAACACAAATGCTTTTGAAAGTGTTTTTGAAAGTTGTTTTTTAACATTTATTTGACCTCCAGGTTGTATTTGAATTCATTTGTGCAGAACAGATTTTGAATATTTTCTGGGAGCAGGTTGAGTTTCACTTTAAATAAGATTTGGCATGTTTTAAATTTTACCAGATCCCCAAATTTTAGTAAGTTTGATTGGCAAAAAAGTGCATTTGTATGTTCTCTATATCCAAATGAGTGAGCTATTTGCTTTTTTGTGTAATTTAAACAATAAGTCTGTGTTACTTTTATAAGAATTTCATTGCCACCAGGAATGTTCCACGGTTAAGCATAAAACTTATCTAGTGTGTCTCCATCCAATCCAATCCAACTTTATTTGTATAGCAGATTTTATAAACAAGACAGTTTCAAAAGTTTACTTTACATAGCAGTGGGGAAAAAAAACCCCAAAAAAAACAAACATCAGCAGAATTATGTTACAACCATGAGGAAACTAATAGAATAAATAAATAAATATAATAATTATAATAAAATCAATAAAATAAATAAATAAATAAACACCTAAAAGCAGTAGTAAAAAAATAAAAAAAGATAAAAATAAATAAATAATTTAAATAATAATAAAATAAATAAATAATAAATAATAAAAAAAAATACATTAATAAAAAATAAAGTAAATAAATAAATAAAATAAATAATTAAAGACACAAAGGACCACACAACTCACGTGGTGTTAAAAGCCAGAGAATAAAAGTGGGTCTTAAGACGAGACTTCTCCACTGGGGGGGCTGTTGGTACGTGGACGGGCAGAGTGTTCCAAAGCTTGGGACCGGCCACAGAGAAGGCCCTGGAATAAAGAAACCATAAACAATGTTCCAAAGTATGACTTTAACTTTCCATCTCCTTAGAGTCATGCAGGAAGCAGAAATGTTTTGTGGTGTTGGTGTTTTTTACGCTTTTTACTGTAAACCATCTTTGGAAATCTTGACAATCTTTATCTGTGGCTTTCAAAATTATGAAGAATTATGATTGTTTCCATAGCGATTAGCAATTTAAACAAGAAGCTATGATGTATATTCATAAACAAGTTATGTATTATTTATTTGATTATATTTTGTTTTCCTCTGCAGTAAGAAGCACGTGGTTTACACATACAGACTGCTCAAGACTCTCCAAGGACAATACACACTACTGGTAAAGAAACTATTTTACATATTTAAAACAGATTTAAAGACACTGTAGGTGTTTTTTACTCTTCTAAGAAGCTGAAAAACAGAACGAGTTCATTTTAAATCATGACCACAACCCATATTTTTATGGTTTGGTTAGTCTTGGTTGAGACTTGACTCTATTCTGGTGTTTGTTCCATTTTTGTTGACTTATTAAACACAAAAAAATACACAGAAGGGGTTTTTGGACATCTTATTTAATATTTGAGTAAAGGCATTTTTTTGAGTTAAAACTTGAATAAATCAGAGTTTGACCTAAATATATATAAAAAAATCTCCCTGTTTGTTTTGAATCTGGTTAAGTTTGGAAAGTTTGATGTGTTTAAGAGCTGACCTTTATGTTCCTATGGGGGGAAATCATTTTGAGAAAACTTTTTTTGAAGTTACAATGTCCCATATAAATCTATGGATGCAAGTTTAAGTTAAAGTTAAATTAGTATTAAAAACATTCAAATCTCTTGTTTGGTTTAATTAATCCTGGTTTAGACTTGGTTCTCTTCTGGATTAATACTTTAATTCAGGGTTTGTTCTGTTTTTGTTGACATATTAAACACTAAAAATTATACAGAAGGGGCTTTGGACATCTTATTTAGTATCTGAGTAAACAAATTTTTTTGAGCTAAAACATGAATAAATCAGACTTTGAATTGGACATCAAAAAATCCCCCTGTATGTTTTCAAATCTGGTTAAATTTGGAAAGTTTGGCGTGTGAAGGTGCTACTTTATAGGGACTTAAGGGCTGATCCTAATGTTCCTATGGGGGGAAAACATTTTGCGAAAGCAGTCTTTGAAGTTACAATGTCCCATATCAATCTATGAATGCAAGTTGATTAAATTAAATATTAAAACATTTTCTTATATTTTCTCTTGTTTGGTTTAGTTTGTCTTGGTTTAGACCTGGTTCTATTCTGGATTAGTACTTTAATTCTGTGTGTATGTGATATTTTAAGAGCTGGTCTTGATGTTGCTATGAGGGAAATGCATTTTAAGAGAGTGTCCTATATAAGTCTGGACACAAGATGATTAAATTAAATATTTAAACATTTTCATATATTTTCTCTTGTTTGGTTTAGTTAGTTCTGGTTTAGACCTGGTTCTATTCTGGATTAGTACTTTAATTCTGGTGTTTGTTCTGTTTTTGTTGACATATTAGACCCTAAAAAACATCATTTGGACATCTTATTTTGTATTTGAGTAAACTTTGAATTTGATATTTTTTAAAATCCTTCTGTATGTTTTGTCCAAATCTGGTCAAGTACAAGACTGTAAAGTTTGGTGTGTGTAGGTGAGACTTTAAGGGCTGATCCTTATGTTCCTGTGGGGAAATACATTTTGAGAAAAGAAAACTATATTGTCTCGTATAAACCTATGGATGTGAGTTGATTAAATTAAATATTTAAACATTTTCAGATATTTTCTCTTGTTTGGTTAAGTTAGTCCTAGTTTAGACCTGGTTTTATTCTGGAATAGTACTTTAATTCAAGATTTTTTCTGTTTTTGTTGACATATTAAACCCTAAATAATATACAGAAGGGGTTTTGGACATCTTATTTTGTATTTGAGTAAACTTTGAATTAGATATTTTTTTTAAATCCTTCTGTATCTTGTTAGGTACAAGACTGTAAAGTTTGGAGTGTGTAGGTGATACTTTAAGGGCTGATCCTTATGTAGAAATGCTGCAATGTCCCATATAAACCTTTGGATGTGACTAGATTAAATTAAATATTAAAACATTTTCTTATATTTTCTCTTGTTTGATTTAGTTAATTTCAGTTTAGACCTGGTTTTATTCTGGATTAGTACTTTAATTCATGGTTTGTTCTGTTTTTGTTGACATATTAAGCAGTAAAAAATATACAGATAATAAATATTTTCTCTTGTGTGGTTTAGTTAGTCTCGGTTTAGACCTGGTTCTGTTCTGGTTTCGTACTTTAATTCAGGGTTTGTTCTGGTTCAGTTGATTCTGGTCTAGTCTTGGTTTAGTAGCTGACTCATTCAATACTTGAGTGATTTTGCAGAACAATGTTGGTGAAACCTTTTTGCATTTTATTCTTCGCATATTCTAATACAGCAGTTGTTAAAAATTTCTTAATATTGTGCAACTCAACGTTGTGTTAAAGGTGCACTGTTTTTATTTTTTTGCATTTATTCAACTACAAGTGAATAAATCATTGGTATAGAGGTCAATTCCACTGACCCACAGGTTGGCGGTGTGATTCCAGCTCCCACAGATGAATACTGTTGTTGTTGTGTCTTTTGGCAAGACCCTTAACCCACCTCGCCCCCAGTGTCTTCGTACAGGGGCGTGTTAGTAAATGGTAAATGGTCACATTTTTCTACAGCGCTTTTCCACCTTCAAGGCACTCAAAGCACTTTACAAGAAGGAATCACTCACCTATTCACACACACATTCACACACCAGTGTACGCAGACACTGTGGGCAAGGTGGGTTAAGTGTCTTGCCCAAGTACACAATGGCAGCATTCATCTGTGGGAGTTGGAATCACACCAGCCAACCTGTGGGTCAGTGGATCTGACTGCTCAACCTGTGATGAGTGTGTGTGAATTGGTGAATGGTTTCCTGTTGTAAAGCGCTTTGAAGGTGGAAAATATTTTTAAAAGTGAGCATTTGTGACCAATATAATAATACATAACACTTGTATAAGGATTTTCAAGATATTCAAAGACGCTTTACATGAATATTTAAGAATCTGTGTATCATTTGTTCATTCGTTTTTCAGTATATAACCATAAATAAGAAAACAACAACAACAACAACAAAAGTTATTCATTATTTGTCTTCAAAACCAAAATGAAAAAACAGATAATGATAAAATTTTTCAGTTTTTGATTTTGTGTTTAAATGAATAATGAAAAAAACAGATAATGGTCGTTTCCCATTTACGTGACTTAAACTGTGATGCCGGACTTTTGCGCTGCATACGGACTGAACCAGGACTGAACCAGAACAGGACTAAAACAGAACCAGACTGGGACTCAGACCGGGACCAGACTGAGACCAGACCGGGACTGAGACCAGGAGTGAGATGAGGACTTGAGACTGGGACTGAGACCGGGACCAGACTGAGACCAGACCGGAACTGAGACCAGGAGTAAGACGAGGATTTGAGACTAGGCCTGAGACCGGGACTGAGACCATGACCAGACCGGGCCCAGACTGGGACTGAGACCAGGACTGTGACCGGGACCAGACCGGGACTGAGACCAGGACTGTGACCGGGACCAGACCGGGATCAGACCGGGATTGAGACCAGGACCAGACTGGAACTAGACTGGGACTGAAACCAGGACTGAGGCTGGGACCAGACCAGTGACTGAGACCAGGACCAGACCAGGACTGAGGTTTGTCCAAGACCTGGTTTAATCCTGGTGTAGTCCTGTTTTAGTCCTGGTTTAGTCCTGTTTTAGTCCTGGGTCAGTCCTGATTTAGTCCTGGTTTAGTCCTGTTTTAGTCCTGGGTCAGTCCTGGTTCAGTCCTGGTTTAGTCCTGGTTTAGTCCTGTTTTAGTCCTGTTTAGTCCTGTTTTAGTCCTAGGTCAATCCTGGTTCAGTCCTGGTTCAGTCTGGCATTCAGTTTAAGTCACGGAAACGGGAAACGGCCGTTATCTTTATTTTTTCATTCTTCATTTAAACACAAAATCGAAAACTGAAAAAACAAATCATTATCTGTTTTTTCATTTTGGTTTTGGAGACAAATAATGAAGAAAATAGTTGTTTTTTTTTTCATTTTCTTATTTTTTGTTTTATTATGAAAAACGACTGAAAGAATGATACACAGATTTATATGGACTGTATTCTGGGGGAAGATACATTTTGCTTTAATATAATAGTTTCCCAGAGGCTATAAATAACTTAAATGTGGTTAAATTCATTCATACTGAGTGAAGCTAAGCAGGTCTGGGTCTGGTTGGTCCTTGCGTGTGAGACTGTTGGAAATATCAGGTTCAACAGGCAGTAGTGGCAGTGGCAGCAGTGGAAACTACTGTTGTGCCATTATGCACGACACGTCAGTCATTTTTTACTTTTAATATGAAAGCGGCGCGTGTGTGTGTCAGCGCTGGAGACGGCTGCAGGGTGGAGATGGACGGTCGAGATAAACAGTTTCACACTAAAACACTAAACTATCTCAGAATCAGTGAGTGTGACGGGATTGAATCATTCTTTGTAAAGCAGTTTGAGAGTCTTTAAAAGTGTGATGTAAATCAAATGCATTTTAAAGGGTGCAAGTACGCCGTTTCCTGATCTGTTCTAATAAGAGTTGCGTTTTGTTTCATTCACACATGTTTAACACACAAATCCTACATATTTAGGCTGAGTTCTTCTCTCAAACTGAAAACTCAATGCTGTTACACCTTGTGATGTCACTGAACTTGAAAAACAGAGCATTTTTGGAGATGTGTTAGGATAAATAACTAGGTTTAGCTATTTTGTATAATCACTTCTATAGTTCATTATTGTTCCGAGGTCATTTGAAGATAAGGGCTCTGATCACAGCTGTGAGACTCATAGATTTATGTCAAGACAAATGCAGGATATTCCAATTTATCTAACAGTAAACAAACTAACAAGAACTACTGATAGGGATGATGTCATTATTTGTTAGCCAGATAACACCCCGGATGGAGTCTGAGGCTACGTCCACACGACAATGCTCCTGGATTCTTTCTTTTACAGGCTGAAAAAAATTCGCGTCCACACACGTGTCGGAACCATAAATATTCATGTCCAGACGACAACAGAGCACTGAGTGAAAACAACGTAATACATATGCCACACCTGTATGTGGCGCTGTTAACAATGATAATAATATTTAATAATGCACATTTCATCACAGTTTTTTTGCACTTTAAGGTAATTTAGCCGATTTTAGATGTATCCCAAAAATATAGCCGTTTTGTTTTGCAAAAGTTAAACATAACTTTTCGTTTTTAGCCTTAAGATATG